GAGTTTGCAATCAAGTTTTACATTTCAACTTCCATTTTATTCAAGACATACTACACTATTTTGGCTCTGTATTTGTTCTTATTTCTTGCATATGAGACGGTCCATAAGGAAGATAACAAGCAAGACTACTGTTTCAGACCAAGTACCATTATATAATACGTTTTCAACGGACATTGCCAGATAAGACTTTCTCCTTTTATCCATTGATTTTATCTGGACTTTTCATATTATTTAAAGTCTTATCCAAGCGCAGCCTTCTTTTGTATTTTTTACATATATATATATATATATATATATATATATATATATATATATTTCAATCATAGTGATAAATAGTTTATTTAGCTTTGAAAGTTGTAGTAGCACTAATTATAAAATGCAGATCTAGGATCTCACTATAGTGTTCCAAACATGGATAGGGTAGTACGAAATCTAAGTATCTGTACAAAATTACTTTATTTCAATATAACAACAGCATATAATACTAAAAAATAAAAAAGGACTTTATACAAGGAAACATAACATAAATATGTGATTGTAAATTATAAGCAGGTACTGAAATGAATATAAATAGAGGATCGGCAACTATATACTTGTCATGCTCTCGATCAGGCCAGGTAGGAGGAGATGATTGCCAGAGTTAACTAAAGAGCCTTTATTTGCAGGTTTTGGCATATCAGCAGTATACCTTGTAGAATAAATAATAAGGAGAAGGAAAGGGAAAAATAAACATTAAGGCAATATGGACCTACACCTGTAAGTGGAGCGCTCAAACACATATACAGCTTACCAAACGTTATTTTGTTCAATGATGCAGTATAAAGTACATGTGAAGAAAAATACAAAAAAGTACAATATAGTGCAGATGGTATTTAAAGTGGCAATGCAATAATTATAATGATGTTGTGATGAATTTTACACTCACATTTCAAGGAGCCTGTATGTAGAAACACTGGCTCCGTATTGAGGCTTGTGTGCTTATAATGGTAGCACCAACCTTTTACTTTGATTTTAAGTAATTCTCAAAGACAAAAAAGAGACACAGGAAGTATTCTTAGACATCTACAAACCATTAAACGGGAACAGGACTATTATTTGGTAACTGCAGATGTCAGTTCTTTATACACCATTATTTCACATCAAAAGGGCTGTACAGCAGTGAGATTCTTTTTAGAGCAATCCCATTCATTTGAACCAGATCAAATAAATTTTATTATGGAAGCAATACAATTAATTCTAACCAGCAATTACTTCTGGTACGATGACACTCGGCGTGTGGGACGGCGATGGGTTCCAGGTGCGCACCCAGCTACGCCAGTCTGTTTATGGCAGACTGGGAACGTCAGTATTTACAACTCAATGACAGCTGGATAGAGGGCCTGGTGACCTATCGCCACTACATAGATGACCTGTTCTTTATTTGGAAAGGCACAGAAGATACACTACACACCTTTTTAAATCAACTAAACAACAATGAATGGGGCATTATTCTAACAACAAATTTTAGTAAACACATGGTTACATTTTTAGATTTGGATATTTTTATAGACAATGAGAAGGTAAAAACCAAAACCCATTTTAAGGATGTGGACGTCAACAGTTTTATCCATACTTCCAGTTGCCAATTTTCCCCCATGGCTAAATAGTGTACCCAAGTCACAACTCATACGAATTAAAAGAAATTGTACAGATGAGGATAATTTTAAGGAACAAGCAGACAAATTAATCACCGACCTGTTGAATAAGGGTTATAAAAAGGAAAAACTAAAAGACACTTATACACAAGTCTCAAAGATCCCACAAAGCACCTTATTACAAGAAAAGAATAAAACACAAAACGAAGGAGAAGTCAATCTACCTATTATATGCAACTATAGCCACAATGATAAGGCACTAAGGAAAATTTTAAATAAACACTGGCCCGTTCTATTACAAGACCATGCCCTATCTCATATTTTACCAGCAAAACCCAAAATAGTGTTTAGGGGTGCTGCTAACTTAAATAGACTCTTGGTAAAAAAATCGTATTAAGAAAACAAAAACCACTACCTTCCTAGATAAAGGAAAGGGCTTTTATGGATGCGGCACATGCCTAGCGTGCAGGAACACAAACAATAAAAAAAAGACACATTAAAAAATTTAAGAATTTCAATAATAATGAGGAATTCCCCATTAAAGATCTTATAACCTGCCATTCAAATAATATATCTATTAGAGTGCCCATGTGGTTTAAAATATGTGGGATGCACCAAACACAATCTACACACTAGGATTGAAGAACACACCAAAAATATCAAGAAAAAGTTTGAGGGACATAGTGTATCACACCATTTTTTCTTAGCACATACAAGCGACCCCACACAACTTAAATTTATGGGTATACATAAAGTTAAGGGCAACTGGTGAGGAGGAGACTTTACCAAGTTATTGGGACAGAGTGAGATGAGGTGGATATTCAGCCTTGGGAATGTAGACTTCGAACTCTGCCATTTTATTTTAAAGCATATATTTTATTTATTAGGTTCCATCATCTCTTATATTATACATATATATATATATATATATATATATATATATACACACACACACACACACACATGTATATACTATTATATATACATTATATACATGATAGATTATTTTCATATCTATATATGTATCACCCCCCCCCCCCATCCAGTGGTGCATTATCTATGTTTTAATTCAATACCAACTGTGAATACCACTTAAAGAATACATATTTATATCCCTAGTGGACACAATATATCCAAAAGGATATTCACCTCAATATGGATTCATTTATTACTATCACTTTAAGAACACTCATCACTTTATAAGCACCTATGCACTTTAATATTTTAATAACTACTAATCATATTTATAATATATAAGTTCATTGATATACAATTATGTTTATTATCATTGTGATATAATTCTTTATTTCATTTTCTACTTTTTGTTTTTGTTTTTTTCCTACACACTCCCATACACACACTATTTGTCCATCACGCCAGAGGGGGAGGACCTAACGGCCATGCCGACACGCCTTAGGGGCGGTACGCACCAGAATGGCCACGGACTACCCCTCCTATACTACAATCCCCTCCCCACGACCTGCACGCATGGGAGATGTGCGACATGGCCGGGGAGTCAGGGGGACTCCGGGCGGCGGCTGAGTGACAATCACGTGGGTTCATGACGTCACTTCCGCCAACCTCTCTGATGGATGCGGAATACTTCTGACAACCACCACTGCCCACCAATGAAAGTAATAGCAAATAATAACCTATTAAAAGGTACACATACACATTTCCCCACACATGATAAATGTAAACTACATTATGATTGGACAAAATGCACTTAGCTCATTAAAGGGGAAGATCCAAGAGACATTTAAAAATGGAAGATTCAGAGGACCTACATTACAGCTGACCGAAGAAGCTCTATTTGAGAGTGAAACACGTTTTGGCCATTTTTAAAGGACTTTTATTGAGGACTTTTTAAAACATTTGTTTTTATATTTATTATACACCAATAAATTGGTTATTTTACCTAAGATCCCACTCAAGTCCATTTTGGAGCCTCCAGAGAATCTTCATAGGGGTAGTGCCATCCCCATTCAAATTGGCACAGAATTTATACACCTAGAGCCAGGATCCATAGGCTCAGGACCAGGTGAGCACCACATTTACTAACATATATGTGTGCTTTTATGAACACAATCTACACATTGATCCGCTTTCCCTCTTTTTTGTCTTTGAGAATTACTCCAAATTGAAGTAGAAGGGTGGTGCTACCATTATAAGCACACAAGCCTCAATACGGAGCCAGTGTTTCTATATACAGGCTCCTTGAAATGTGAGTGTATAATTCATCACGACATCATTATAATTATTGCATTGCTGCTTTAAATACCATCTGCACTATATTGTACTTTTTTGTATTTTTCTTCACTTGTACTTAATACTGCATCATTGAAAAAAATAACGTTTGGTAAGCTGTATATGTGTTTGAGCGCTCCACTTACAGGTGTAGGTCCCTGTTACTTACAATTTTGTTCAGTGGAATAGGATATTTCCACATAAGTGTATAGAGTTGCCTGTAAATCACTTTCATCTTTTAAGCACTTTGTTACACACACCCCTCCGTAAAAAGAGGTAACCTTTGATTGGTATTAAGGCAATATGCCCTATATGGAAAACAAACAAGTGTACAAATAATAAAGCTAGATAAAAGTATAGGAATAATAAGACAGGTATTAGGAACTATAAGGAGTCAGGGAAAGAAAATAACACCTTGTTAATAAATGTGCTCAGCAATGTCCAGATAGTGGTTATGTAGGGTTGTATAAATCAGGTAGGTAGGATAATGCAGAGTTGAAAGTAATCCAGGATGGTATGGTGCAGGGTTGGAAGTAAACCAGGTTGGCAGGATAAAGCAGAGTTGCAGGCAATCCAGGTTGGAATGAAGCAGGATTGGAAGTAAACCAGGTTGGCAGGATAAAGCAGAGTTGCAGGCAATCCAGGTTGGAATGAAGCAGGGTTGGTATGGTGCAGGGTTGGAAGTAAACCAGGTTGGCAGGATAAAGAAGAGAAGCAGCATTGTAAGTAATCCAAATTGGTAAGGAGCAGTGGTGGAAGCAATGCAGGTAAGTCAAAGGCTCTTTCAGGAGCCAGGATCTGAAGTCTTTAGTATGAACATCAACTTCAATGTAAAGGCCACTTGTCGGGTGTGGCCTTTTATAGCTGACTTGATTTTATGTTATCCAGATAAGAGTCTGAGGTGACTTGTGGCTAGGGAGGCCACTAGAGGCGAGAAACAGGTACTGTATTTAAAGGAACAGTATTAAACGTAAAAAGTCTTGCTAGTCAGGATAGGAACCCAACAATACTATACTGAGTGTTACAGGAAACCTAACCTCAGGTGGAAGCAATGATCCAGAAGTAAGAAACAACTATTACTGCTAGCGCTCACAAATGGACTGTTGGCAGTCTGTTGAGAATAAATGTCCACGGGGAAGAAAGGAAAGAAAAATAGCTGTCATATATATATATATATATATATATATATGACAGCTATTTTTCTTTCCTTTCTTCCCCGTGGACATTTATTTGCTGCTATTCTCCCTAGGAGTGGCTGTGACGAGACCAATCTCGCCACATTGCATTGGAGAAGCCTGGTTGCTCACCTGTTGCCTTTGGATTATGGCCCCATGTTAAAAGGCTTGATTTTTCCCTGCAAAGACATGAAAGCCGGGTCATTTGGTGCTTGGCCTGTTTGAACAGTGATACCCCAGATAGCTATGCCATGGAGCCCATTCGTATAATGAAAGACTATGGGAAAGACTTTGGCATCATGGAAATTGAACTGTATGTGTGTGCTCTGAGCGCCATTCAGTAATAATGTGCGCTCAAATCTGAGCTATCTGGAGATATGTTGAATGTACTTGTTTTGTGCAATGGTTGTACAGTTATATGTTTTTATGTGTTTTATTGTCTTTTGCTGCCATGTGTTCAATGGAGTTTTGCCTCTGTCTTTGGAGATAATTGGATTACTTCACAATTGGGAGCCCAGTCTCCATTCCCCAGCGGCAGAGTGTCCTACAGGGAATAGAGAGCCTAGTCTCCTTTCCCCAGCAGCAGGACTCTGTATTGGGAGCAGAGACAGTCGGTCTCCCTCCCCAGCGGCTGGAAGTATATATGGGAGAGGAGCTTGTTACCCCCTCTCCACAGTGGCAGCTTAACGTACCAGGGGGGGACAGTAAACCCCACAATCATGCAGATGGGACCATGGTCTCTGCACTTACAGCACAGGGGGTAGGGACGGTCGGTTCTGCCCCCCAGCAACAGGGCTGTTTAGCCAAAGGGGAGCCAGTTGGTCTCCCCCTCCAGCAACCGAGCGGTGTAACCAAAGGGGAGACAGTCCGCTGGTCTCTGCCCACTCAGCAACCCACCAAGTCAGCTTACCAATCACCCACACAGCCGTGGTGAGGCACCTGGACATGGACAAAGTTCTCCTCTACCCAGGTGTAGTAACACACCCAGTGTGTGGGCTGTATTACTATTTGTGTGTTGTGGGTGGGCTGCTGGACTAACAAGGGCACTGACCGGCCGGAGTTCAGATACCCTGTTAGTCTGTTTGGAAAAGGGGAGAGATGTGACGAGACCAATCTCACCACATTGCATTGGAGAAGCCTGGTTGCTCGCCTGTTGCCTTTGGATTATGGCCCCATGTTAAAAGGCTTGATTTTTCCCTGCAAAGACATGAAAGCCGGGTCATTTGGTGCTTGCCCTGTTTGAACAGTGATACCCCAGATAGCTATACCATGGAGCCCATTCGTATAATGAAAGACTATGGGAAAGACTTTGGCTCCATGGCAATTGAACTGTATGTGTGTGCTCTGAGCGCCATTCAGTAATAATGTGCGTTCAGATCTGAGCTATCTGGGGATATGTTGAATGTACTTGTTTTGTGCAATGGCTGTACAGTTATATGTTTTTATGTGTTTTATTGTCTTTTGCTGCCATGTGTTCAATGGAGTTTTGCCTCTGTCTTTGGAGATATTTGGATTACTTCAAAATTATCTCCAGGATAGAAGACTCTGTGGAACTGGTTTTGGGCACAAAAGCCATGCTTCCTTTGGTCACAAAGGACTACGATCTATCTTTTGAACCATTGGACCAATTTGTATAAATTTGACATATGTTTGTATTTGAAGTATGCTGATTCTGAAAATGTAAGTGAATGTGATGCAAACTTTTCAAGTTATGAATAATGTGTAAAATTGTATTTCTCTGCTTGTGCTAATTACATTACCCATTGTGTAAGGTAATTGAATCACAGGCAGAGGGGAGGAATTTGTGTGGGAGTGTCTGAGTGTATTGTATGTGTTTATTGGTTGTGTTCCAAAACCCTGTGGGTGGTACTAATGTGTAAGAATGTGTACATAAGCACAATAAACCCAAAGCTCTGTCTGTTCACTGCTTGACCCTCAACACTGAGCTTTGTCTCGTTCTTGGGGGGATTTACTGTATGCTGTTCCAGTTTGACTGCTAGGAGTGTAAACCTATTCGTATGGTTTTTCCTATTCGGCTGTTTACAGCATTCGTATGGTTTCCTGTTCGGCAGATTGGTGTTCTGCAGTAGCTGTGCCTGTGTCTCTGGAAGGGAAGATCTACTAAACGGTGGTTTAACCTTTTTATGCTGAGGGTGCCGTAACAGTGGCCATCCTGTAAAGATGTCTGCAAGAGCACAGTGCAGACTGCTCAATGAGTTGAAGAAGAATCCTAGAGTGTCAGCTAAAGACTTACAAAAGTCACTGGCAAATGCTAACATCCCTGTTAGCAAATCTACAATACGTAAAACACTAAACAAGAATGGATTTCATGGGAGGATACCACAGAGGAAGCCACTGCTGTCAAAACAAAACATTGCTGCACGTTTACAGTTTGCACAAGAGCACCTGGATGTTCCACAGCAGTACTGGCAAAATATTCTGTGGACAGATGAAACCAAAGTTGAGTTGTTTGGAAGAAACACACAACACTATGTGTGGCGAAAAAAGGCACAGCACACCAACATCAAAACCTCATCCCAACTGTGAAGTATGGTGGTGGGGCATCATGGTTTGGGGCTGCTTTGCTGTGTCAGGGCCTGGACGGATTGCTATCATCAAAGGAAAAATTAATTCCCAAGTTTATCAAGACATTTTGCAGGAGAACTTAAGGCCATCTGTCTACCAGCTGAAGTTCAACAGAAGATGGGTGTTGCAACAGGACAATGACCCAAAGCATAGAAGTAAATC